GGCCAGACTCTGCTGGATGTCCTCTAGGAGAGCCATCAGGTGGTCCTATATTTCTACTACATCTAGCAGGACGGACCATAGGGTCCTCACATTGTCATCCATGTTCGTCAGGTCCATCTCCTCTAACTCGCTAACGTCCGCTTGTCTCCGCTGCATCCTGGCTCTACTTCGAATCATCTTCTCTTTCTCTGCTTTGCTCTCTCCTAAAGCCTGTTGTAGTTGTGCCTCGTGATGTATGGTGACCTCTTCAGGAGTCAACACTATTGGCTGGCTTGCCATAACGCCAGTGGCCTGACTCAAGGTTTGTGCAATCGTTGACCCTACGGTCCTTGAACTGCTGGCCTGGGAACTCTGCTGCGCAGCAGTTGCCATGGCTGCTGAAACAGCGGCTTCGCTTGCGGATGCCCTGCTGGCCTTTGCTGCCCTAGCTCTCCGCTGCTGCTGCTGTCTCTCCCTAAGTTGACGGAACAGTAACCTGTCACCCTCGGGTCCTAATGCCACGTGGGCAATTGGGCGTCTAGCCGATCGCAAGATCCTGTCGTCCTCTCTAGTGGTCCCCCTGTCGCTCATAAGCTACAGTACTATACACAATCTGCACTAGGTCACACTCTAGATGCCTAACGCAACATAATGCACAAACCGATTTAAAATAAATAATATAAATAATCGGTGGCTTTGTCAGAGAACATACATTCGGGTTCAACTGGTAAGTTCAGATTCCTACAAACGAAACTACTTTTAATTAATTAGTCCATGAACAGAAAGCATATTTCTAACTATTGTTGTCTGTTAAATGTCAATGGAAGTCCATCTAACTAATAAAAAATAAAAATAGAATCGTCTGTGTGGATATTTGCAGAGTGGAATTGAGCACGAACTTATCCCCTGAAATCTACCCCTCCCGCAGTTCCTCTTGATGGTCACTTGACATCGGCGTCCTTGAGCGATCCAAAATAGCGTGCGTGTCTAAAGGTGTCCACGCGGCCCACCCTTGTGCCCCGAGTCCTGCTGAGCTGGCCAGACCTGCACAATATTTGTCCTCGCGTGCAACGAGCCTTACATCGACCGATTGGCTGATCAGGAGGCGTTTCTATGGACGGCCCACAAAGTCCTCAGGAATTATTTAACGTCGCAGACAGGACGACGATCACAGCCAATGGAAGGTCCCCAATGGTACTTATTTACAGACGTCCGGTACTCGTCTTTCCCGCAGGGCTGGCCTGCCCCTCAAAACCCATCTATAGCACAACGAGCAGACAAAGGACAAAGCAGCAAAGCATGCGTGCTCTACTCCTGGGGGGTTGGCATGGTGACTGTGACCCAGTGCTTCGTCCAGGGCCCTTCAGATAGCTCCGCCCTCTCCGTCCAGATGCTCCACGTGAACAATGCCGACTCTCAAGGTTGAGCGCACTCGACTCCTCACATGAGAGGGCTCTCAAGACAGAACACACATCCTCACAGTAAGAAGTGTCAAAGAGGGTAGATAAGGTTAGGTGGAACGTACCTCAAAATAGCTGCCCCCAACCACATATATTCTCACCAGATGACCTGATGCCGATTGTGATGACCAATCGTTGCTTCGGCACAACTAGCATTACTTCGATGTTCCACCTCAGCATCAATCGCACATCAGATAGTTCTCATCACACTGCGAACACCCACTGTACACCATGTAGCCTTCCTGGCGATCCCCTCTCCACCTGGGTCGCCTACTTGACTTCGCCCTCCTCACTACACACTCCCTACGGCAGCTCACCCAGCATACCGCATGCATGTACCGCATAGGCAGAAGACAAGCGCCAGATGAGCGCATTGTACCACTGCTCCGATGCCAAATTGCAAGGAAAATGAGAGATAGTGAACTTCAAAAACCAAGCAGCATCATACACGTGAGACCAGATAATCGTGACCTCGAACCAAAAGCATCATACACGTGAGACCAGATAATCGTGACCATAATCGTGAGACCTGAACTGCAATTGGCATCGTGACCTCCGATGCCAATTGCATCATGAGTCCCACCAAATAAGAGCAGAGCAAAAGCTCATAAGTGACAGTGTTCGAATAGTCTCATCATCATCAACAAAGAACCAATGTCAACATCCTATCTGGCGCTCGGCGCCCAGACTACAAATGGCAGATCCTATCTAGCCTATCTACAATGTCGCTGATGACGACAACAGCTCCCCGAAGTACGAGCAGATCTCCACCAATGCTGTTCCCCTCAAGTACCAGGTATGTCTCTCACCTCACTCATAACCTCGATCCCCAACTCACAGATGCCACATGCACCCAAGGACCACCATGCGCCCCATCCAGCATACAGCAGCGCAGCTCGGATATGGCTGCCTGCTCCTTCCAGCTYGCCCGTGAGCGTGCGAGCGCTGGCCAGCGTATAGCGCAGCAGCGCTTGCGCAGCATGCAGCCAGTGCCCGAATGCCGAATACGTGGGCAGGCCCTTTCCTAAATGGAAGTGGCCTGCTTGCTTGCGTGCAGCCTGGCTGCGCTGGGCCCCTGCCCAGAAGCTTCCGGTAGGCCCAGAGAGGCTGAGCCCCAGTCCAAACGGATCAGGCACTGGCCTGTGGTGGTTGCCCTTTTTCAACTGCCCGCGGCCTGTGTTCGGTCCATGTTACGAATCTGGCCCAGGGCCTGCCTTGGTTACATTCGAAAGAGGCAGCCTGGGCCTAGGCGCTCTCAACCAACTGGCGCTGCGCAACTGCCTGAAATTACCCAGTTGCGTGGTGACCCCAAAAATGGGCCTGTAGGCCGTGGGTCGAGCTTGCCTTCACTTAGGGCGGCCGGTTGTACAGGAAATAGGGCCCAGTAGAGCAGATCAAGGCCTTGAGCCTCGCAATATTGTTGGCGAATTCAGACAAGGTACGCGTAGGCTGGTACAGGGGTACACCAATAGCCCATACACTTATCCAAATGTCGGGATAGTGCCTATAATATCCTGACTCATGTGAACACAAACCATGGTTACCCTGGACCCATGCCCCTGACAAATCCAGACTGTCTGGGTGGTATCCAGACATCCCAACAGATCCAGACAAGGGGTGGGCTCACAATGAAAAAGCGTACTTTTTCACTATTTTCATTCTTATATGTGACCTTGGATTGGGCTATGAATCTGAAGATGACCCTGAGACAAAAAATGTTTGTGTTGCAATACTTCCAGACTGTCTGGATAGCATCCAGACATCCCCACACTGAAAGCGTATTTTTTCACTGTTTTCATTCCTATTTGTGACCTTGGATAGAATCTGAAGATGACCCTGAGACCAAAAATGTTTGTGTTGCAATACTTCCAGACTGTCTGGACAAAATCCAGACATCCCCAATTGATCCAGACAAGGGCTGGGCTCCTCCCGAAAAAAACGCGTATTTTCATTTGTTTCCTTGGATTGGGCAATGCATTTCGGGATGACCCGGAGACAAAAAATGTTTCTGTTACCCAAGGGCCTAGCTCAGTGGGTACACCCATGAACTGTTCAAATACAGACCCATGTTCCAACCCAGATGATGGAACTTGATGAGTAAAACCAACTATTTCTGAATTGCCTGGTGCCGGTTGGCTCAATGATGATATCTCAAGGCCATCACCCTTTTATTTAAAAAAAATAAAAATAAAAATGTTTGTGTTGCAGTCAGCGGTACCGGTCCAGTCAAGCAAGTACCATGAGGGACTGTGTGCACCATGGGCCGATGGAAAGGGGCAGACAAACCAGTTACAGAAGTATAAATCAAGGGGCAGCGCCCAGCCATTCATTCATTCCTGCATATGCGGAAGCGCTGCCACAGCGACTTGTGCGAGGTGGTCTGCAGTGAGCCCGAAGACGAAGTGGGCGAGAAGGAAGCTTAGCCATAGCGATAGAGTAGCAGCGGCCATAGCCGCCATAGCTGTAGAAGTGTGCGGGTGTGTGCGAGTGTACAGAGTGTGATGCGTGTGGGATATCCAGGGTGATCCTGTGTGTGAACATCAGTGTTGAGCAAGTGACGAACAGAGAGTTGTACAGGCGATGTGCCGCCATAGCCATTTGAAGTGAACTTGTATCTGAGCTGCGTTCTTGGTTACTATATCTCTGAGTTCTGAGTGGGCGCTTGACGCCAGTTTGCTGCGCAACCTGTTTGCATGCATGTGAAGTGTGAATGAAAGCGAGTCTGATTGCAAAAGGGGGGTGCCTTAGTGTGATTTTGTTGTTTTCTTTTTTTATCTCCGATTCGGTGAGGAATTCTGATGTGATCCTCAGCCAAAAGTTGTTTGTATTGCAATTCTACACAACATTTTTTTTTTTTCTGGAATTTGTTTACTTTCGTTYTTTTTTTTTTTTTTTTTTTTTTTTTTGCGCTGGGGCTGCCCGGAACCCTGCCAGGGGGTCATGCCCAGCCGGCCACCCGGGCGTGTATCCGGGCACAAGTTGGGTGCCCGGGCGCCCGGAAAAACAGCCTAGTCCAGCACCCCAAATAATCCCATCAACACCCTTATATCCCCCCCCAACACCCCCAACACACCCCCAGCACTCCTCCAACACCCCCATACCACCCCCTAACACCCTCATAACCCCCCCTTAACCCACTATAACCCCCACCACCCCAAAAAAAGTTATTGCTGATTTGGGCTGTGTTCCTCGAGGCGCGCATGACCATGTAATGAGAAAAAAAAAAAAAATTGCAAGGCAGTCTGCCAATCGCCGACAGGTCCGCCTACGGGTCGGCCCGACTGGTAGGCGTCGATGGTAGCCGCCAAAACTACCCTGATTTTCAGATAATTTCCTTATATTATCCAGACAGCATCCACACCCAGACATACAGGCAGTCTGGATCTCCATCCAGACGTCCGGATAGTAACAATGAGACTCCTGAAGGAAGTTCAATGAACAGACGACCCCACAGAACCTCATCCTACATTCTGGAAAGTACTGCAATTAGAGCACAGAGAAAGTGTTAGGTTTCCCAAGGTAATTACTAACTACTGTAGGCAAGTCGGCAAGATTGGTTACCTTCGCGAGCATGTGAGGTGGCGGACCAGATCCTGCACCTGCCTGTCGAACAAGGAGCAACAGGTCATGCTCAAAGCAAGATCGAAGAACAGCATCAGACCCGGGCTCTCCCATAAAGCGTCCCACCCAGAAATCGTCAACCTTTTCCAGGGACATCAGCCGCAACACTCCCTTAGGTTCAGCTCCTCTCCCACTAGCATTGCCATTTCCTTCCATGTGTTCCTTCTGTATCTGTGCTTTGAATTCCTCCAACACCAGAGGCGCAAAATTTTTCTGGTAATCACTAGAGTCCACAAACCGATTCTGCACGCGTAACAGTCCTGCTTTTCTCAAAGCATCCTTATCTCTGTCCGACTCTGCGCGAACGACTTCATGGTAGTCCAGCTTCAGAATCTCCTTCCACCAGTCGTCCAGGCGAGGTGGAGGAGGCCTCTGCCCAGATTTCCCAATTCTCCCAGTCGAAGTTCCTGAACTCCCTCTCCCAGCCACCTTGCCAGGTGTCCCAAGCTGAATCGTTTTCCGACGAGACCCTTGCCCAGCCAATTTCAAAATGTTTCGCAAGGCATCCAGTTCTCCATCAGTTCCCTTGTTTCCATAATGTGAAGTTTCCTCCAACACTGGTCTGTACCTTTCACGCGGCTCCCCATCTAAAACTGCTTGATCCCTTGCGAACCCTTGGTTCGAATGAACAGCAGCAACAGATGCATTTCCCATGCGACACTTGTTTGCAGCTATTGTAGTGTGCATTTTCTGCCGTTCAGCATGGTAATCTTTTCTCATTGCTGCAAACTTGCTGATGCCCTTACCAGTTTCCACCTTTCGTCTCTTTGCAGGCCCAGCTTGGCTTCCCATTGCACCATCAAGTGGAACCCCGAAGAGTCTATTTCCTGATGCACCTTCAGGCGGGGCTCCAGGGTTTTTGTCGCCTCTTACACTGGCGACACCACCTCTAGAAGCACCCTTGGATGCGTTGCTTACCCTTGGTGTGCTTGGTCGAGACAACTCCGACCTACCTATGTGCTCATTGGCATAGTCAGCATCACTACATGGACGTTTCAAACCCGATAAATATTGCCTAGAAGCACGCGAGTCCTCACTTGTTTTAGTCTCCAAGTCACTTTCCGCACTTTGTCCCTTCGATTCATCCTCGTCATCATCCGGGATCATGACTATGCCATGTTCCATCTCCACCCACTCTGGTTTCGACCATCTTGTTCCCTCATCATTAATTGTGAATGGGCATGATTCTCTCCCCATTGGCTCTTCCTTAACTCTAACAGCTGCAGATGCCGTTAGTTCATCATCTTTATCCAGTCCTTCAACCCTGGCCCTCAGGAGGCTTGTAGATCTCAAGCAATCAGCTAAAATCTTATCAGTGTCATCACCATCCTCGGCAACTCCTCGTCCTCTCAAACGGCGTCTTGACTGCAAGGCGTCCTTGAAGTTAAACTGATCATCAGCTATTTTGATATCAGTGGCATCACCATTCTCAGCAACTTCTCTCCCTCTCACGCGGCTGCCTGACTGCAAGGCGTCCTTGAAGCTAAACTGATCAGCGTTCATTTCACAAGACGAATCAACATGCAAGGCTGCTTTCCCAGAGGAGCTGTCCTCCGGGGAAACTGGTTCTGATTTCACTGAATTAAGATTCAGCACAGATCCATTCTTCTGCCCAATACTGATTGCTACCTTACCTCCAGGTTTGGAACCCGAAGCTGAAACCCTCTCTCCACTCACTCTAGGCAAGTTCTCAAGCAGTCCACGGCCCAGGCTACCAGGAGCAGCATTCTTGAACAGAGGAGCAAGGGCGATACGCTCTTCATCAGTTAGAGGTGAGGTCCCTGCCACAAATCAATGGAGTCTTAATCACCAACCTGCACAATAGGGAGGTGAGAGGCACTAACAAGGCCCCAACCGATCACCTTAGACAACATACTTATCTCATTCTCAAAACAGCATTCTTTGCACAGCCACACTCCACTTAGAAATCGCAAGCTCTCCTGTTCAAGCAGGCATATTAGTGCTTCAGACCACTTTACCTTCAGTGCTGGCTTAACATAAGGACATAATTGTTGACCTTACTTACATAGACTGTGCAGACATGTCATTCTGCTTCTAACACAAACAGTGAGCTGAGCTTATGCATAAGCCTCCAGACGCTTGGCTCAAGTACAGGTAATTGCTTGAAGGTTCCTTAGCAAGATTCAAACCTTCACTTCATCTCTGGTCGCAGAGAGCAACACCTCTGGATGTCTTCATCCCCTAACTTCAGCCCAGCAACGTTTACGGGATGACTCTGATCATGTCTGCAAAGGATACTGCGCAGACCGTAGTACACCCTACAATGCCACTGTAAAGAAAGGTGGACAATCCTAGGTCTCCATTGTCTAGGATGACCTCACATTGAGACAGTGGGAGCAAGTACCCACAGTTTTCCAGCACCATGCAAGTGTATCACATTTGTGAATAAGTCTGTATGTTTGTATGGTCTGGTGTGTTTCAAATTTTCTGTTGTTTTCATTTTGAAAGTTATGTTTGTCCTTCGTGTTGTTCTGTCAAAAGACTCAAAGAGTCAAAACTGACCATGGACTAGCACGGAGACATTTCTGCAAATTCATCTACCGCAGCATATCAGGGCAAACTTGCAAATATTTCAGCCGAAAAGGATTTGCAGTGTTTTGCACAGAACCCAGTAGGCCTAAAAATAATGCAGGGTACCAGAAGCTTCGTGTACTTCTCTGAACCCTACCCAGAAAGTGGCAGTATAAGGTGGTACTGGCCCATTGCATGTTCCATCTCGGCCGAGTTCCTAAGCGCAGACTGGGCCCAGAGGCTGGCTGGCAGTCTGGCCACCAACATCTAAGGGCAGCAAGTCCAGTCAAAGGCATGCTGACTGCAGGAAGTCGTACTAGCGCTTCTGGACTGTCAAAGGAAAGACTATTGCACTTGCACTGGCTTGCAGCGGCAGGTACCAGGCTATGGTGGTAGGAGAGGAGCATTGGCCCAAGAAGGGCAAAAAGTCAGCAGGACCCTGTGTTTATCCAGTTACAATCAGACAGGAGGCTATGGTAGATAGGGAATAGAAGACGAGACTTGGACACTGCTCTTGCCAGGCTTCCTCAATGATGACTGAGGAAGTCGTTCTTGGGCTCCTGGACCATCAAAGGGAAGTCTCATGCACTTGGACTGGCTTGCAGCTGCGGGTACTATGCTACGTTGGTGAGAGAGTAGCGCCAGCCCAAGAAGGGCAAGGAGTCAGCAGGTGTGTGTTTAAGCAGTGGAAGGAGAAGTGAACTCGGGTTAATTCTATTCTATTGTAACCAATGTGTGGCCACTGGCCTCTACTCCTGATTTGAGTCAATTGGTTGTCATGAGACGGTTTGGCTAGGGTATTGGGCGGCGTGCTGCATGATTGGAGTTGTTCTGGGCAGGGGCAGGTATGGGTGTGCTGCATGATTGGAGTTGTGTTGGCCAGGTGCAGGTATGGGCAGTATCTGACGGGCAACACGAGGTACCTGGGATCATAACATGACTACTCGGTAGCACCTCAGTCTCTTCTCCTCATCCAGACGTGAGTGGCACCTAAAGAAGGCATCCTTCGATTGTCATTCAGCTTAAATCACATGTCCTGCAAGTGGCTCTCTGTCAACAGCATTTTGGTCAACAAATTTTTGACGATTGTGCAGAGGGAATGATTGTCATTCAGCATCAGGTCAAATGCAAACGGCTCTCTTTCCAACAAAGCTTCTTTTTTTTCTTTTTTTTAAAAAAAAGGAGACACGTTCATAACTCATTATAGAAGACCCTGAATTCAACACCGAGGAGACAAGGAACTGATTAGTGGCCAACCATGGGGTTGGCAATCTATCTGTGAAGCTCAGAGAGGCATTGCATCCAACAGTCTGTGGTCTTGAGCATGGCGGCCTCTTAAAATGTTGACGGTTCATAACATACCTGCCTCAAGTACTTGTTTTCCAGCATCAAGAATCTCTGGTGGCAACTGGTCAAGATGTTGAAGGAGATCCTTCATTATCACCTCTATGGCTCCCTTCCAACGTCGACGAACTGACAAATCACGAGTCAATCCCCACCGGATGATCTTTGAGATTACATCTGTCCCGATTGATCTGTAGTCTTGATGGGGATATTGATGATCTTTCGGAAGAATAGTCCTAGTGACCGGAGCATTCCTTCCAGTTCTGGGAAGATACTGCCAAAGAACTTGCAGAAGTTGGAATATGTTCACGAATGACAACTGACACAACGGTTACAAAGGGTGAAATAGAAAGAGCAGCACACACATGGTTAGTCCAGTAACAAAGCCAATGGTCAGTGGCAAAAGAGCTCAGTCAGCGGTAATCAATAAAGCTGTCATACAGAAGCCACATTTCAAAGCATTTCACATTTCCTCTTTCGTCAATGTCATCCAGTGGTCTAACTGCCAGCCGTGCCACAACTATCAGGCAACATGGTCAGCATGTTACGATCCTGGCCAACTTGGAAGTGCAAAATCCACGAGAAACCACAATGCCGTCAGATTCCAAAAGAAATGAATGAGAGGAGAGAGAGGGAAAGAAGAATAAGAAAAAGAAAGAAAGAAGAAGAAGAAGATGTGCACCAGCAAGGACCAATGATAATCCCCCTTCTTCTCGCCGACCAAACTCCTCGTCCTTTTCTCCTCCCCTCTTATTCAAACAACAAATAATAATAGTAATAACATACATCCAGCGCATCACGTGCGCGCAAGTTGCGCACGTGCGCCGCACAGCGCATGCATACACGTGCGCGCGCACGTGATGCGGCACATGTACAAAATAACATACAAAAAAAATCAGAAAGGGTAGGCCGTGTTACCCATAAGTGTCCCTCCCTTTTAAAAATTGTAAGTGCACAGAACGAGAATATTTTGGGGCCTCTTCGTACTACTCATTGGTAATATTCTCCTTTCCAAAGGGTCCCCTGCTGAGAATCAGCACGGATGCCATTCATTTCGAAGGGCGTTCATTGCGCTGGTTAAAGAACACGAGCAGGCCAGCAATATATTCTGGATTCGGATTCAGGTCAGTGTTCCAAGAGTTATGGGCTATGAACTCATCACAAAGTAGTACAAACACACAGTAGCTGTCTCGTTTTTTTGTTTTTCTTTTTCTTCCGTGCAGTGGTTAAGGGCCTCGCTCCACTCATCAGCATTTGCAGAAAAGAAAAACGTATGGCTTGTATGGTTCCAGTTTCTAGGAGAAGATTCATTCTAGTTTTGCACATACAGTAGCTGTCTCGTTTTTTTGTTTATCCTTTTCTTACG